CTGTCCCCTCTTTTACTTCGCTACTGTGTTCCATCACGTGAGATGTAATAACTGCTCACCACAAAGTCCGCAGATTGAACAGCGTTAGATCACAACAATGTGAACGGTGTGGTTATCGAGCCAGCAGACCAAATACGCTAGCTAGGAGTACACCTAGACCCGCGACTGGACTTCAAACATCACGTCACGACGTGGTGTGGCAAAGCTCTGAAGGTGGCCCAGCAGATGCGCCGCTTAAACTCAGCATATCGAGGAGCTGCTCCTGCAGCACTGGTTCGGGCAGTGGACACGTGCATTGTCCCCCTAGCAATCTTTGGAGCAGATGTTTGGTGGCCCGGCCTCAAACGTCCGACCATTAGGGGAATCATCACACCTCGGACTAGCATTTTCTGCGAGATGATTGATAAGGCAACCCTAACAGGACTGCGTGCTGCCCTCCTGGTAATGAGAACGACACCGAATCCTGTTCTCCACCGCGAAGGAGGTATACCAACAGGAAAGATCATTCTGGAAAGGAATCGACTATGGCTTTCGGCTCGGCATCATTCACTAGACAACCGTCACCCGCTCAGGACTCGCGCCGCTATGCGTCCAAACGATGGAACACGGAAATACAAGAAATGTTCTCGGGCGCCCAAGAATCCAGAGATCCACATGTCACGAGTACAGCGTGCTTACCGAGAACTCCCGGATGCGGAAGATGCTGAGCCTTTGCCACCCCCAAGCTATCTTTCGAGTTTCAACTCAAGGATAGAGGAGGAAGAGAAGGCAACTCGGTTCATTGATAGTGTGCCGGCATCAGATATTTGCGCCTACCCGGATGGATCGTCAGAGGGGAATGGTCGCTCAGCATGGAGTTTTATCTTAAAGAGGGATGGAAAAACTTTGTTGAAGAGATATGGCATCAAGCATGGCGGTGAAGTGCTTGATGCGGAAATACTAGGGGCGAGGAAGGCCCTGGAAGCTGCGCTGGAATTGTCGGAGAGGGAGAACGGGGGAAGAGACGGCAGGAAGCAGATCAATGTATTGACTGATAGTCAGTCTGCAGTGAAAGCACTGCTGACGGGAATTGCCACAACAAGCCTCGACGACGTACGCCAATTTCGGGCGCTATCGAAAAAGGCTCTAGTCTCGGTGAAGTGGATACCGGCCCACTCCGGGATGCAGGAAATCGAAGATACAGACAGAGCTGCACGCTCCAGCCTTCGACAACTGCCAGGTAAAGAGAGCCAGCCTGGCTCCGTCACGTTGGCGTACGTTCGTCGGCTCATGAACCAGAAACGTCAAGCGCTTCTCGACAACTGGTGGGAAGAAGTATGTCAACTAAGATATCGAAATCTGGGTCTCCTTATGGGACGACGCAAGCCACGCGAACAGACACTTGCCCGGCGGCTACTCCGTGAACTGATATCAGCCCGTACGGGCCACGGAAACTTCGCGGCATGTCACCGCCGCTTCAACAACTTCGCCGATTTAATAGAATGTGCGTGTGGAGAGGAAACATCACCTCTCCACTCTATTCACTGTTGACTGCACGCATGACAGACACGTCGACTACGAGGGACAATGTCACATCATGACTTTGTCCACAAGCTTCTCGGGCCTAAGTGTCACAGGCTCATACCTGGTTATCATTAGGCTGCTGCCTAACAAATAAGGCTTGAACTCCTCCAACCATATTAAACACCATACATGTCATGAACCCCTCCACGACTCATTAGACCCAAGTATAGGCCTTGGCCCAGTTCATGCAAATCTATTCTTAAATGATAAATTTAGATTGCAGACAGGACGACTCGAACACCAGTCGTGAGTCATCTAAGCCACATGCATCATAACTATTTTAATAACTAAAATTACTAACATTAAAATGAAGCCGAATTAAAATAGACGGAGATGCTGGTGTTTGTCGGAGGACAGGTCATGATCTATTTTGAGAATGGTATGAAATGAGGGAACGAGATCATAGTCTTGTAAATAAATAGGAGGCTTTCAGTCATGTCTCTGCTCGTTACTTTAAGATTTTCATTTGTATCTAGCTCTGAGTTCAGTTTGAATAAAACGCCACTTTAAGACCGTCACACTAAGTGTCTCGAGAACTTTACAAATTTTGCGCAGGAAACCGGCTGCTTCGGGGGCCCACCTGCGACTCCGTCTCCAGCTCTCAGCGTAGACAGCAGTAACTAGATCATACCACGAAGCATGACGGGCAGGAAGATGAGACGAGAAGTGCCATTTTCCAACCACAAATATAAGTATGAGATTTGAAACTTTGGTTATGAGAGTTTATGTGGGGTTTTATTTTCTTTCTTGTAACTAGCTACTTGTTTTGTAGTGGGCCACGCGGTGAGACTGAGTCAGGAAATTGGGAAGCATGATCCTGGCCGTATGCACCAGCCCTTGACTCCTGGGAGATATAGAGCATAGCTGAGGACCTAAAATTAAAGAAAAAAAAATAATTGACTTGTAGAGTCTAACAGGAAGATTTACTTGGTTGTTAATAACGCCAGTAATCTTTCGATTAAGTTGTTTTCTAAGGAGGTCCACTTAAGTTTGGTCATTGTATTTTGCCCTTTCTGTTGGTAGGTGTATTCAATGTGTAATTGCTGGCAATATGCCGTCAATGATTCCTCCTGTGTATATTCTATTCTCTTCAATGCTACGGGAAGATTTATCGGAAGTATGTCACTTAATATAGCCACATGACATCACGAACTACTGACAATGTTCCGACACTTTCTATATAATGATCAAAGTCGGTCTTCAAATCTTTATGAGCACGTTTGTCTTGGTAAAGTGTGTCTAAGGCATTCCTTGCCATCTGGGTAGTATCAAGTAGTATAAGGGAATGGTTAAACTGTCCTTTGCAGCTATTGATGGTGACATGAATTGTGGAAACTGGAGGGACAAAAGACAATTGGCGAGTGGTCAAAAGCTGGCGTGGTCTCAAATCATAAGATTCTAAACTAAAGAGAAAAGTATCTAGGAGGATATGAATCTATATATATTTATATAAGAGTTCAACTGTTGAAATAGAGTTGCCAACACGAAATCTCCTGTCCCTCATTGTCTACAACCCAAGGGTTTTGCATGAAAACCAATATCCATGACAAACCTTTCGTATTGTGATTTGTCACACACAAGACTTATGTGTGTGAAACTGGTTGTTGGAATTCCTGGATTGACCCTGTGTCGGCTTACCAAGTATTGGACTGACGACTACGTGGCCACTAACATGTCGAGGTGTCACATGAATTAAGATGATGATTTGTGATTGAGGTAGATTTCTATATAGTTTATAATACATGATATGCTCGGGCTCATATACCTCGAGCCAAGCAACTAGATTATGTTCCTCCAGATCTAGATTCATCAGATTAATTACTTACTCAGTGAAATTCTTCTAGTCTCAGTTGTGTGTTTAGGATCTTGATTAGGTTTCTAGTAACTAGTCAATGATGTTTCTCCTATCACTGAGACATAGTCATGGTTGATACAACAGGTACAAACAATGAATCGTGCCTGTACATGACGTTGTGATATAGTCATGATTGTCTGAACAATATCAACTCATGAATAAATCATGTATCTCCTATCAAGGACTTGCCATAAGTCTGTTTGCCTTCTCCAATGCCATTTCTCTGAATCACTTGGGTATGAATTCATTTTCTGTACTCCGTCTTTAATAGCTTCCCATGCTTTCCCTAAGAGTTGGCTGGTTATATACAATATTAAATATACAATTGAAATTTCCAGGAAAGCAACTACCATCCACAATCAACACTTGTTGGATCTGTATTTTCCAACTCTCATATTGAGTTTGGCGTTTTTCAGCACTTGTTTGTGCAGCAGAAAATTTTTCTGGATCGGATCTAGTCCGGCGCAATATTGTGTCTGTAGAATCAATGTTCGAGGGTTTCATGCTGAGAATGGCATCAACCTGTAGTTTATTTCAGACTGTAAGCTTGAAATTTTATCATTTAAAGTTGACATCTTGTTGTTGTTGTCTAAAGAGCAAGCTAGATTTCAATTAGATATAGTTGAGTTTAGAAAGATAAATTCAGTCATATGTGTATTTTTGGTTTCACCAATTTTTGAATAAAGACACTGAAGCAAACTACAAAATAAAATAATTTCTGATGTGTTAGTGGTTGAATCGGTCGAGCTCAGCAGAGAAGCTGGATTCGAACCATCTGGGAACTGATGCCCTTCAATTTAATTGAATTGTTTTAGGGTCCTAAGCTATGCTCTATATCTCCTAGGAGCCAAAGACCGGGATGCCCTTCAATTGCTGCGCTCAAGTTCGGCCAGCTCTCCTGAAAAGCGATGATAATTTCAGTGGCTCTGATGTCGGAGTCCATGTTGGTAACAGTCACAATATTTTGTTTTTTTATTTTTTGTGAAACTCTTTGGGGTGATGGCTGGAATTTACTTCAGGTTTTGTGTCAGGTCGTAGCAGGAAGATTGTGAGTGGGCAAAAGAATTAGCAAAGTCCTATGCAGCACCTGTTGCACGAACTTGCGCTAACTGTACGAGAGCTGTAAGTTCCAAAGTTCGAGAATATCTGCAAGAGGATAAGGTACTTATTAGCACTTATGCAATGGCGATTGGGTACTACACATGCGACAGAGAAAACACAAGTTTAAGCCCTACTACGACGGACTTTGGGCCATTGCAGCATGCCATGCAGGTAATCCCTACTCTCTAATCTCACCTGGAGGGTATAAGATGGCTAAAGTATATAACGGGACCAACTTGTTCGCAACCTTTATGCGCGACGGGCATCCGGTTAGAGGTCTGTGGTATGGGAGTCGGAGGTTGTTGGAACATGATTGCGGAAACATCAGAGCCGCTGTTGGACTTTGAAAAAAAAGAACTTGAAAAAGCTAAGGACAGCTTTAGTTTGAGAAAGGGAATAATTGAACATGCTGAGCTCTAAGCCCAAGCGAAGCGCCAAGTCTTACGGAAATCGAGCCGCCAAGTTAAAGGTCCCATCAAGAATGCACCGCTCGTATTCTTTGGTCACAATACGGGCAGCTAAGCGCCTCACTCCTCCCCCACTGCATTCTGATAGTTCACTTTGCCATGTATTATTGATTGTTACATTATCTAGAGTATAGAGAATTTCATGTATTTTAGGAGGAGTTAGAACGCTAATAGAGAAACAAGCTTACACCTAGGCTCAAGCTCTACACAAATATATACTATTGTAGTCAGAGCCACGAGACATCGGTTAATTTCACAGTCAAAATTTATCATTTTATTCTTACAATTGTGCACAAGAAACCTCATTGTAATAGTAGTGCAACTTACGTAATGTTCCCTCGGCATTCTTATATGACACCAAAGAGTTAAATAGTTAGATAGAATGAATTAGATGCGAATGTTACTGAATCGTTTAATGAATATATTTTATTGCCTTTTTTTCCATGCGCGTATAACTTATTGTGCCAACATCACTTGACCTGATTATACTCTTGTTCAGTAAGTAGATTTACAAACTCTCGTGTGCCCGAAGCATACAAATGAGCTCTATAGCCAAAACCAGACCAGCCTAGCCCGCAACTTTCGTACACCTTTTGTTATTTGCTTCTACCACAAAAACTTCCATTACAGACAATCCGATGTTTGCCAAAACATAGTAGTCTACATTTCCCCCTACCAATACTATTAGCATATTTTCATCGGTGAGATAGAAGCAAATAACGAACCTTGCCAGCTCTCATCAGAATTTTTTATAGGAAATGTTCGTAGTGTCCCAAATTCAACCCCTGGATATTCTACTCGGTAAACTGAGGGGCAACCATGAACAGTATTTGGTACAAAACTGAAGGCCAATCTTGCCGCAGATCGAGCCCTCTCATCTGGAATTGGAGTACCATTGCAATTCCAATAAGCTGCAGCCTCTACTGTCTCCAAACTAAGGAAGATTGCAATAGCAGACAAAAGTTGGAATGGTCTCATTATGGTGGTGCTCCTGGAGAGTCCTGTGATTTTCTGATGCAATTGTGTGAAAGATGACTGTATTTGAGTGGCAGAAAGTTTGTCCTTGAGAAGATCTTGTCTCCAAGATATTCAATAGGTTTTCTTATTTGGGAACAGTTACAGCAGTTTGTGAGAGGCGATGCTATTTGCAGAGCGGCGAGGAACGATATTCTGCAGGGGATATATGATGAGATAAAAGGGGATACGTGGACTGGTAAGGTGTCTTATATACTACTGATACTATTAGGCATTTGAATGGGCATTCTTCGCGCCAGATATTACACTTATCAAGTGTATTGGCTACTTTGGTTGATTATCAATAGATTCCATACAAGAACTTGGCACTTGAAGAGAAAATTCTCAAAACCTCTGGCTCTCACTGTGGATTATGCAGAGCCAAGATTGGGTAATGCTCTAGTCCTCACTGCTGTGAAGATTTGAATCGCGTTTGTTGTCTGTATTGTCTTTATCTCTCAATACGTAACTTTGTCACTATCAGATAAGATGGCACAGTCGAAGCCCTTCTCATCACCAGTCCTCGATCATGGAGAAAGAGCCGTCCGATGAGTTTCCAGAGCAGCTCTAGCACTCGATACGGCGATGGTGGATTGGATCATGCTGGCCTCAAATGTTACAAAGAAGGAATATGTGGGTGCATAAACAAACCTCGTGTGGTCTTGGTGTCTAGGCCTCGCCTGGCCAGTGCTGCAGGTTTTATGAAACTTTTTCTCGCGCATGCAGTTCTCATTGCTACCATTTATTCAATCTTTATTTGGGTAGAAAGTTCCGTGGAAAAGGAGGCCGAATTCCACGGATAAACACTGAGCTGAACAGATACTCATCTCGGGAAATATATCAATGATCTTTCAAGTAACAAAAGAGGTAAGGACTACGATACAAGGTGTAGCCTGGCTCAGAGGAGAGCTCAATGTGCCATATAGTAGTAATAGTAGCAGTAGTAGTAGTAGTATTGGTAATTTATTTTTTGAATGTGTATTTGGTTATCTAGCTATGACACACAACCGATGCTGTGTTTACATTTTGGATGACTCTTTTATGGTTCGAGACTCTCATACTCTAGAATTCATTTGCAAATACCACTACGAGGTATCTTTGCTTGCACAAACATTCGATCCTTGTCTATGAGTACCAACCAAAGGGACGTTTCAAAGTCTTCGATTATCCAAGCATGTCTTCGTCATCCATGCATACCAGCGCCGCGAGAAATGTGCTTGTGTTTTGCCGGATTCGGACCAGCAATCTCCTGTCTCGAGTGAGATATGCGTCCTAGCTATCCAGACCTTAATTGAGTGACCGTCCTAGTTAATGTAGCACCGCACCATTGAGCCAAGTCGGTGTTTAGAGTGTTGCCTGAACTCTCTCAGTCGAAGTCTTATCGCGCATAATTCTCAATTTGAATAACTCATTTCAAAAAATTGAGATGTTACTCCTTTCATAATTTTATCAACCGTTGCATCATTTCGCAAACTAATCCAGAACTCTCTCACGTCCATCCCAAAGAACTGTCTCCCAGGTTTGTGCGCCACACTTTACGTCCTCCATCGGGTGTAAATATTAGCGTGGACGTGTATTTGGTGACCAGCTGAGGCCGGAGACAGTCGATAAGAGGTGTGATCATTGAAACGAAGATGTACTGGGTCGTAGCTATAAACTTGATGAGGTTTTGGTGTGTATCAATCGGAATGGGTGAGAGAAATTGATCCAATAAAGAAGTTTGAATCATTGCCTCTTGGGCCAATTTTTTAGTTTTGCAATATTTGACTAGACTTGGCTCTCTGGAAAATTTCACACCCAGGTTTGTAGATGACACTGCGTACAGGTGTTGAGTCTTGCCCCCAGTAGCAGTAGTGATTTTCGACCCGAGTTGCTTGGCAGTGCCAAACAACCCACAAATAGCCTTCCTAAGGGTACTATGTCGTGCTAAGCCCGAATGCAGTGATATAGCATAAGGTAGAGATGTAAATTGCCCCAGACCTTCCATCGCACCCATCTCAGCACTGCCCCCGTCCTTGACCAATATATCCCTCTCGCCCCATTCCCTCCACTACCCCGAGAAAGCGAGTCAAGCAAAAGCGTGCAGCCAGAAAGTGTTAATCTTCAGGTTAGATCTAGTTATAGTCCAGTTCACAGAATGTTACGTTGATGTTTGCAATAGTGGTGTTTTCCCAGGCTAAACATATTCCACGCATCTACAACCCTGAGGTGTGTGACTACTAAAGATGCATTGATTCAACAGTTTAACACACATGTATCAAAATAGCCCTCTTACACTTTGAATCATAAACCTTCAGATTATACGCCAAGAAACAGTAGGCTGCATTATATCCGAGCTTCTCTGAATATTCTTGCTCTGGTCTAGCCCAAACACACCTGGGCTACGGTAGCATTACAGTGAAATTTGCGCCGTAACCTGTGGTCACCGTCTTAAAAACAGCTTCCAAGGCAAAAGTTGACAAGCGGCTATTTCTTCGCCTTAAAAGCAACCATCCGTGAAGACTGCCATCATTTTTTATTTGGTCTGCTATAGAGGAGGACCTCGACTTTAGTAGTCACATAGACTCGATTTGTCAAATCAAGTGTAAAGGGTTTAAGGAATTCAGAAGTACTTGAAGTCATTCATGCAATAGAAATGAATAATTTTTCCTTGGGAAGCTAAACTACTGTACTGTATCCTGTCCTTTATTTCTTCCGCGTACGCTAGTATTAACTCCCCCCTTTGGCCATATGAGTATACATCTTTCTCCCGACTCTCTTCCTTGGCCCCTGAGAATCATCCTTTTGTTGTGGTTATGAGCTGTGAGGTAAATGGCAATTATGACTCTGCTGTCCGTCGGTGGAGTGGCACGGGCTCATGTGCAATGGTGGGTCGCGGAGATGGCGCACTCATGCTGGGTGATGGCATGATGGACACTGAGTGCGTATCACTGTGGCCAAATGGGTGTCAGTAGGCATCAGATGTGAACTCTTGCTGACAATAGTGATCTATGAAGGTGATGCTAGATGTGCATCCCAACAATTGATAATATCATCTAATGGATGATGTGAAGTATGATATTAAATGGATAGATTAATTCACTAAACTCGGCAGGTGAAGAGATTGTAGAGTACATGAATGGCGTCTGGGCACCAGCCTGTATTTTCCACCCTTTCCTAATCCAGCAGTCCATCCTCTGTTCCCCTGTCTCCTAACAACTCAACCGAGCCAGCACAACACCTTTCTCCTGGCACAACTCTTCTCCTGTATCATACTCCCCTGTCACAAACCATCACTGGGATGTCGTGTCGCACCCAGGAAACCGAGTTATGACGTGCATACAATAACACAATTTAGGTATTGTAATGGTTACAGTGTTGTGATAGCAACAGTTGCCATTCAGAGTACTAGTTAGTTACTGTGTTATGGCTGTGAACTACTACACCCTTGGTTATAGTATTGAAGCTCGTGTACTTAAGGAAGCTCTAGGACTGGATGTGTACTGTAGCTTTTTGTCTTGTAAATTACTCATGTTTTAGAATCAAATTATTAATCTAAATATCTCGTCCTCATTATCAGCCTCTGTCTCCGTCTTCGTCTTCGTCTTCGTCTTCGTCTTCGTCTTCGTCTTCGTCTTCGTCTTCGTCTTCGTCTTCGTCTTCGTCTTCGTCTTCGTCTCCGTCCTCGTCCTTGACATCCCCATCTGGTACATACCCCCTTTGATACCCCCTTAGCGCCCCTTTCGTCTATCCAGTAGCGTTGCCCTGCCACTATCTTACCTCGGAGACGGAGTGGTCCTTGTGACCAGTCCCAATTGTGACAGCCGTAGCCTCTAGATATCAAGGCACTCGTCTCTTCACAATGATGCACTCTAATTGGTCTAAACTCGGCATAAAGTTAATCCGGGATTCTGTACTCTTTGTAATTTCTATGTAGCAATAAGAGTCTTCTCTCTTTAGATTAAATATAACTTATAATTCACCACAAGCAGTACGCTTCCCCTGACACCAATCCGGGCAAAGCCCCTCACATCAAGTCGGGCTTAGCCACTCTAGCAGTAAATCAAGAAAAAGGCAAGGCATCCTAGATGCCTCGTCATAATTGGCGAGTTTCAACACCAAGGTCGATCTGTTAAGATTATGAGCACATACTGGTTGAATCTCTACCTTGGAAGGATGCTATATGTGTTTGTAGAACACCAACATAGATACCAAAAAGACTTGTGTTAACTGAAGAGCGCTTGTATTCAGATGACTTATTCTTACTCCTACTCCTAGGAGATACATGTCCTGGATATCCTTATCACAGTTCCTACACTATTCAGTGAATTCTATTCCATTCTATTTCATACTATTTGATCCCATACCATTCTATTACAAATCTACAAAACCCCAGTTATGGGTTGCCCTCAAGTCCATGTCCTTGGACTTGCATGAAATATTGTTTTACTTGGTATATGAAATGGGGAACGTACGCATGTGGTGACGGCTAAGATATATTGGATTGCAGAAGATGAGATTGATCAGATGATATGTGAAAATGTATATGGAATATGTGTCTATCTACATAGGAAAGATTAACGCTTTTATGTGTGGCCAAGTCACTTACTAGCCAATCACTTGGACAATTCTGTTCATCCATGCTATTTCCCACTCCGAGGCAAATGCGCCAAACACATCATGTGAGTTGTCTTCCCTGCAGGAAGAACTCCATGACGTACCCTCTTCACGAGCACCACGTGCCTTATCTACTTTAGCTAAGCACAACAAATATTGGCATGTGTTGGAATTTAGAATAATTGGGGCTATCAAGTAGGCCACCTTGTTGGTACACATGTGACTACAAATTCTGTACTTAGTTTCACTTTGGAAGTTACTTAAATCAATGCGCTCTACAACCTCAGTGACTGAGGGGCCATTATTTCCTTAATAGCATGTATAAATTTGCACAGACCTGGGATCTCTTGGCAGATTATAACATGATC